TTTTTTTTTACAAATTGAAGTTGTCTTGTGTAGTTCACAATTCAAAATTTTTTAGAGATTGAAGTTCTTTAATTTTTTTTTACAAATTTTTTTACAGATTTTTTACAATTTTTTTACAAATTACATTGATAGATTAAGACATATAGGCCCTTAGAGTCAGTTAATACTTGATATGCAGTAAGCATTTAAGCTATGTTAGCCTTTAGCCGGTGGTATTAGCTCTTGGTTACCTATTATTGATGAATTCAGAGACTAGACCCTGTTTAGGAAGTAGTGAATGTTAGCAATTAGCACGAGATGTTTGTTGAAACCCCTCTAGTTCTTTTTACAGATTTTTTACACATTTTTTACAAATTTTTTAGAATTCAATTGATTCCCCTGTTTTGAACAAAACACGAACAAAGGGAATTCTATTCCCTTTTTCTGCACTAGACCAAACAGACAGAGTAATTAGGGGTAATCATTCCCTTCCCCCCTGATTCCCTTTCCTGTTTCCTTTCCCTTTCCTCAGCATGAACCAAACGCCCCCTAAACAAGTACTCGTAGTATTGTTGATATGTTGTTTCTTGTTGCTTATAAAAGAGGAGTAGGAGAAGGAAGACATTGAGAAACTGGAATTCTCAACTAGATAGATGGCAAAGACCGTGAAATTGGATGATGACTTAGTTGCAGAGATCATCTCTCACCTGCCTTTCATGCTTGCGATTCAATGTAAACTTATTAGCAAGAGATTCAACAGTTGGATTTCGAACCCTAAATTTTCTCAAACTTTGTTCCAACATGATCGAAAGGTCTGGACACTAGACTTGCCTTCTACATCATTTGACGTGTCCCGTGACTTGCAGAAAATTATTATCCCACACAGACTTGTTCACCCGAAAGAGATTTGTGCACTCTATAGAGCTTTTGTTGTGGCGGTATGCAGGGGTCTTCTTCTCCTAGTCTTTCCTGGAGTTGGGATATTTTGCGTGTTCAATCCTATAACCAGAGCCCATCAGTTGATACAATACCGGGGGAACTATAGGCTAGAGAGACTTGGTGATGCAGGCTTATTTGTTGATTACCCTGCTTCAGATCTATATAAATTGGTTACCGTGGAGCCACTGGATGAAGGAAAAGGGTATAGTTTTCACGTATTTTCATCATCTTCGAAAGAGAGATTTAAAAGTGGCGTCAAGTCCAATTAAGAATGATGCCCAGCAGCAGCAAAGATATACCACCACCACCACCTGATTATGTGCAAGATGATTCTTTGCATTGGCTCAACTCTGATATACGTGTGCTTGCTTTTGATGCAAAGAGAGAAGAAGCTACATTTCTTGACCCTCCTCCTGAGTTCGTCAATCATATGCTTAATAATATAAATCCAAAGGGCCGCCGCCGCAGATTTAGGGAGATTCTATGCTCTACCTATAAAAAGTTAGTGATGGTGCAAGGAGAACTTACTCTTGTTGGCACCTACAAGGACTCAACAAAGATTGCAGCTTAAGATTGTGAAACAAGTAACTGGACAGTTTGCCCCACTTTGGCGAAAACCATTTGGTCTCTACTTCCAATCTGCATTGACGGCAAACAGGTGCTATTCCTAGTAGGTGGTGGATATCTGTACGAGTATGATTCTGAAACGAGAAGACTAAAAAAACCTGCAGTTTGTAAAGAAGTGGATGGAATTCCCAAGTCCACGTTTTCCTTTAAACCATCGTTAGCCCCAGTTCATGAGACACTCTCCACAGCAGTTGATGCTAAACATCTGCCACGCATTACTGCAGCGTTAGATGAGCTTGGAAGATGTATTACAAAAGGTATCAATTAATTAGTATCACTTCAATTTTCTGTTTTTATTTTCAATGTTGCACACCATAGACCCCCTTGTGTTTTTGCTTCTTGCTATCTACCTAAATAGACTAAAGGCGGCGTCTTTTTTGTGTTTCATTAGTTCTTGCTATCTATCAAAGGTTGGGGTTAGCTATTCCTGTCAAAATTCAGATCTTTTATTTATTTATTTTAAAGTTTTTCCATTCCCTTTGTGTCTCAACTGGGCCAATCAACATTGTAATTGAAATATTTTATGCCTTCTTTTTGAAGTTTGTTCAGACAAATGCGATATAGCATTGTAATAATGTCAAATTGAATTCTATCTGTTTCTTATTTCTGATACTGGTTCTTGCTTCCTTCTTCCTGTTGACATGTTCTGATGTTCACAAGACACAAGTAAAATACAGTTTTTTTTTTATATATCAGCCTTCCTGTTCCACTCCAATTCATATCATATCCTTTTGCAGAATGTTTATTTTTCGTCTTTCAAATTGACAATTAAAGTGTTGGGTAAATTGATGGCTATTTGAAATATCTAGTAGCAATGTACCCAAGTATCTGATTAAGGAAATCCGTAGGATTCACATCTGAGTTGACATAGAGATTGCATATGGTGTTCATTGACTTAGAGATAGCATATACGAAAAGGCCCTCTTGGAGTGACAGAGAAAAAAGGAACTCGTGAACTTTAACAACCTGGCTCCTAATTTCCCTAACATGATTTCATAACATTTTTGATGTTTTGAATAAGTTCATATCTATTTGGGACTTGTCGCGATAGTCGGGGTGGGAACCCCAGGCCTCAGGTTTTCTGCTTTCTGCTGGTGTCTTGTGCATTGCAAAGAGGAGCTGAGTGGATTGACCTGTCAATGGAATTTTTCATGAAGTCAATCTGATGACTCATCATGGTCGTGAGGTGGACAATTGCTTAGCAAAGAAGGGCCGTATTTAGTGAAAGTGTTTATGGTATGAATTTCTCAATGATCTCATTGATACCAAGCATCCCTATTTATACAGGATTTACAATCAATAACCCTAGCACTATTTAAGGAAGAAATATATACAATTCAAATAACAAGATATATCCCCTAAAAAAGTACTCCGTAAAAGATTATAATAGCAATATATGTGGCTAAGACCCCCCCCCCCCTTCAGTTTGAGCGGGTGGTGGACAAATGTTCAAGCTGGACCGAAAGGACTGGAATAGTGGTCGTGAGATGCCTTTGGTGAAGATGTCGGCGTATTGTACGGCACATGGAACATGTAAAACTCTGATGTGACCAGTTCGGACCTTCTCTCGAACAAAATGAATATCAAAGTCAATGTGCTTGATGTGTTGATGTTGAACCGGATTATCCAAGAGATGCACAAAAGAAACGTTGTCGCATTATACCTCAAATGCTCGAGTCAGAGGAACATGAAGCTCAAGTAACAATTTACGGGTCCAAATGGCTTCGGTAACAGCATTAGCAACACCCTGTATTCAGCCTCAGCACTGGATCTGGAAACTGTGGGTTGACAATTGGACGACCAGGAGATGAGGTTGTCACCCAGAAACACGCAATACCCACCAGTAGACCGTCTAGAGTTCGGACAGCCACGCCAGTCTGCATCAAAATTGGCCACTATGGAATTACTGGGTGATAAGAGAATCCATATGCCATGTTCCGATGTACCCTGTAAGTAATGGATGATACATTTCATGGACCCAAAGTGTGGATCACGTGGCTCATGCATAAATAAACAAACCTGCTGAACCACATAAGAGATATTGGGCCTGTTAAAGGTGAGATACTGAAGTGCCCCTGCCAAACTGCGATAAAGTGTTGGGTCATTAAATAAGGTGAGATTAGCTGCTCAATCAACAGGGGTGGCACACATTTTGCAAGCTATCTTGGAAGCCCGAGAAATGATGTCTTTAGTTTACCGTGGTTGAGATAAAAACAGCCCTTGAGGCTTGCGGACAACTTTGATGCCCAAAAAATGGTGTAAGTGCCCCAAATCGGTCTTGGCAAACTCTCGTGAGAGTATGGTAATAATGCTTCGAAGTAGATCACTGGAGGAGGCTATAATGATGATGTCCTCGACATAAAGAAGTAGATAGACAAGTTGAGAGCCATATTTGTAAATGAACAGATAGTTATCACATGCACTACTAGTAAACCCGTGAGAAGAAATAAAGGTGGTAAATCTAGTGTACCAAGCCCGGGTCGCCTATTGGGTCCATATAATGATTTCTTCAACCGATAAACAAGATTGGGGTGCCTTTAATCAACGAAGCCAGGGGTTGAATGGTTGATGCATAAATACCGTTTCCTGCAAATGCCTGTGTCAAAATGCGTTCTTGACATCCACCTGATGAATGGGCCAAAAATGAGTGCCCGCGAGAGAGAGGACAGACCGAATGGTTGCCGGTGTAACAACCGGAGTTACTGGACCAAAGGTGTCCTTGTAGTCAATGCCCACCCACCCCACCATCTATGACTTACCATTAACGACCAACCGAGCCGTGTATCTGTCCAACAAGCCATCTGATTTAAATTTATGGCCGAAAAGCCACATGCATCTAATAATAGGCCGATCAACCGGGCGCGGAACGAAATCTGTTAGGGGTGAACCGGGGGTCTTATCAAGTTGTTATTTTTGGAGATGGAATTTTGGAATAATGAAGGGGAAATGGGCTGGATGAAAATATGGGAATGTGAAGGAGTTCTTTTCGGGTTTTGATATTATGAAGAAGAGTGGAAAATCAGGGATGAAGGATGGGTTTAGAAAGGATGGGATAAATTCCAAATAAGGAATAAGAGATAAACACACTCTTATCTTAATTTGGAGCCAAATTAATACTAAAGGATAAGCTCACCTCTAGATTAACTTGGGGTTGAATTCTAGTATTTAATTAAGATATGACACACTTAATCAAATATCTAGAACCTAAAACTCACACTTAAGATAACCACTCTTAAGATATAGAATTAGGAATTTGGCTAAAATAGC